CATCTAATGATGTTTTATATTAAAGGATATTTGGCCCAGTCTGATCATTAAGGGGAGATTTGTCACCCCCTCATGGACGTAGAAGATACTACGAGTCTATGTAAATGTGCGTTGGCATCATGATGCAAATGATATATGAATATAGTTTTTTTTAATAATGTAAACGTAGAGAACATGAGATTCGGTTGATATCAAAACTCACAACCAGGGTTATTATAGTTAACTAAAACCATTAAAATATTTTCATTTATAAAAAAAAAAAAATAAGTAGCCTATATCAAATAAAAAATATATAGTTTTGTATTTATTAATTTAGACTTATTTCAGCTAGTTTTTAAGGCAACATTTAAACTCACAACCAGGGTTATTATAGTTAACTAAAACCATTAAAATATTTTCATTTATAAAAAAAAAAATAAGTAGCCTATATCAAATAAAAAATATATAGTTTTGTATTTATTAATTTAGACTTATTTCAGCTAGTTTTTAAGGCAACATTTAAATTTTTTTTTTGTTGTAGTTTAACATGATGGGCCAAAATAGCCTAACTACAACAAACTGAAATAAATATGAATGAAAATTATTGAAGCATATTTTAAAGTGACAAAAACGCATTTTAAACAAAATCACACAGAATTACTTTAACAAAAAGGATAATGATAACAGAAAATATAAAAATCAAATCAAAATATTAAGAAAAACTGTGTCTCGGTGATACTAAAATAGCACTGCTCCCAAATTGGCTTTAATTATGTTAGCTATCTGTTATCTGTAGCATAATCTAATGCACTTTTGCTGCGACATTATTGAATGACACATTAACTTTTCAACCCTTTAATTAAGAAGAGGAAATAACATTCCTTGTGTATGTGTGCATGTACAGAACTGCTCATAATTAATCATTTATGTACCCCTTGCACAAATGGAAATGTGCACAAATATTTATGAACAAATAAATTTAGGGGATATATCTAAATATTTACATGTAATAATATGTTATCTATATACAGAGAGAAAGATGTTATGCAGCTCGAAAAAGTTTTTTATTATTATATAGCCTATAGTATGTTATTATTTATTTTTAATATTTGATTGCTCCTATTTTTAAATTAAGTATAAATAAAAATGCCATTTTTGGTTTTCTAAAATTGCAGTGATTATTTTATGCAAGTTATGGTGTGTATTGAGGAGAATTAGTCTTTGTGAGTTAGCCTATATGTTATTTGGAGATTATATCATGCCAGTCATGTTGTGTGTCAGGTAGGCAGCCTGTAGATGGAGTACATGACCAGCTCTTGCTGTACATACTGTACATTGCCATACAGGACTGTCTATTCATTATGAAATGGATCATAAATCATTGAAATATATACACACTGTTACTAAGCTGAGCATGATTTTGCCCTCCTCACCAACTTGGCTTTCTGAAACAGCAGTAAAGCTTTATCTGTATGACGTCCTATCAGAAATATTCAAATGCATAAGCACTCTGAATCTCACTTTTATGTTCGAAGCAGTAAGAGAATGGCTTTTCTTCTCTTCTTGAAAGATTCCAGCCCACACAGCTCCACCCTGATGCTCCTGCAGCCAGTCCTCACACACACGGAGCCGCCTCACTGGCCTGCCAGTTGCCGTGGTAACTTGACATGTCTCCATTTGCTGTGATCAATGGAAATGTTGCCGTCTCATGGGGATTGGAGGGCTGCCAGCTCTCTCGGAGTGCAACGTAACTCTCTCTCCCTCGCGCTCCGAGACAGGGAAGACACAAAGGAAGAAATGGAGGCAGAGGGAAGCGGTGGGGTGGAGGAGGTGGGTGTGAAATGCCATCTGGGTGGTTTCTTGGCCTCTGCGGTCAGGGTTAAATGATCACTCATGAGGCAGATCATTTCATTTGAGTGTGCTGGTTCGGTAATAACACAAAACAATCAGTTCGAGTGATGCTCCGGCGATGTGGAATAAGGGATTTTCCTCAAATCATCATCCTTCCAGATTTTGCTGAGTCTAAATTTCTGTCAGGAGGAGAGGGGGCTGAAATGGCTGCGGAAGCTCTGTGTGTGTGTGGAGGAGGTTTTGATTTCAGCATGATGCTGTCTGTCACACCAACAATGTGAAAAGAACAGTCAGATTTACAGGGTTAATTCACCCAAAAATTCTGTCATTAATTACTCACCCTCATGTCGTTTCAAACCTGTAAGACCTTCGTTCATCTTCGGAACACAAATTAAGATATTTTTGATGGAATCTGAGCGCTGTCTGGCCCTGCATAGACAGCAACGCAACTGAAATGTTCCCAAGTCCAGAAACGTAGCAAGGAGATCTGTAAAATAAACATGTGACATCAGTGGTTGTCACCATGAGCAGTTGAAGCACCTGGAGATCAAAGGGCTGCTGTCTTCATTAACGCTCTTGAAAATTTAATCAACTTGAATTTAATCAGGATGAATAAACTGAATACCAGGAGGGGATGAGAGAACGTCATCACCCACTATCTCCAGACGACTCGTTGCATTCTTTCGTATTAATTTTGATAGAATATACGAAATATGAGGAAAGTGTATTTTGGTGTGTATTTGGATAATTCAATTCTGTGGGTACTATTTTGTCTTTCTTTTTTTGAATATCTGGAGGACATGGCTCTTGCCAATAGATGGAGAACAGAATAACATAAGACTAAAAATCCCAAACTCATTTAATAAGAATTTAGTAGCAAGAAGGAATATTTCCAACCCACATCTCATCTTTCAAATTAAGAATATTAAATGAATAAAGCAAAGTGACAGCTTTCAGTTTAATAATATTTCTATGTGACATTATTCCAGAGAGACTTTTCTCATCTGTTCTAAAAAGATTACATCAGATATCATATAATAAACCCAGCCTACACCACTCACAGCTCAACTGATAATAAAGGAAACTTTGTCAGGGCTCAAAATCCATTTCAACCTCTCATCTTTCAAAAGCATTCTACGTAATCAAATGAATTGTATGTCTATGACTGTGAGTCCAGACCCACCCCTTGAAACACACACGTATAGTTCTTATTAAAATGATAAATTGCTCTGCACTGCTCAACCCATGCAGTCACCATAGCAACAGCCAGAGCTCTGTTTGAGCTTTTGCAGACTTCATGATAGTTGCAGCGTATGGCGTGGGCACTGCTCATGTTTGGAGAGCGTATGTAGGCGTCAGTTGACTAGGTGCAAGAAGCTTATACTGGTGCCAGGTAGATTTCATGATACCAAGATGGGCCCAAATGCACCGCTGGCTTTTTGAGAGGTCACAGCATGTGTCATAAGGGCTTGAAGCATTACTAGCTAGCTGTAAGCCAGCATAGCGTGCCTAATGATCTGAACATTTATTCATTTAGCGGACTACATCTGCAGTCTCTTTGAGATGTTGCCGTGCAATATGAGAGATCTTTAAAATGTAGTATCTTGAATTGTCTGACATTCATTTGGATTGACAGCAAGCTAATTGTTGATGCCTCTAGAGGAGACAGAACATCCTTTGTGCATCTCTGCAGTACTCACTCGGAGCACTGCATGGCAACAGTATAATTAAACCCCAGGTGTGGGATGCTGTCGAGGCATCATATGCCTTGTATGTTTCATCATTTTTATTTCCTGGTAAAATCACTGCAATCATTATACTCAAAAATCGCTGTTTTCTGTTAATCTACTGTAAGTAACAACACTTTGTCACAGATGGTGTGCTTTGCAGTAGTAAAACATTTTTTTCTTTCTCTTCCTGCCACTCTATTATTGGTGACTTGCCACATCCTGCATCTGAAAGTTTCATATTCAAACTCCATATGTAGGAATGCTTGCACTGCCAGTTTAATCTGCATTTAATAAGAATTTAAAGTATGACCTCAGCAAGACTGTGAAATGCTCTGGGCTAAAATTTATCTTTGATGGAGAGATTTTTTTAAAAATCCAGTTTTAATGAGAAATCAAGCTGTTTAAAAAATCAGGTCCCAAATGCAAGCATGTCATATTTGAATCAAACTTAAAAGCCCGGCAGTTTGCATATCTACAGTATTTTATTGGTTTATATTTTTGGTTAATTACTCTGGAGTAATCACTGGCTCCAGAGTCATTGTCTTTCTGTGAGTTTGCTTAATGTAACAATCAAATGCCAAATAATGAAAAACACAAACAACGCATGCACCTCTAAGCAATCTTAAAAATAATAATAATAAAAAAAAACCCCAGATATGATTATCTTTTTAAATGCAGGTTTGGTATATTGCGCTTGAGTATGGGACACCTTGGGGACTATAGGTGCCTTGACCTTTAAGTCCACTGAAGTTAATCTACTCTACAGTGTGATTTGTTTGTCGGACAAAATAGCAGATTCAGCGTTATGATTGGTCAGATCGCCTGTCAATCAAGCTCTTTGCAAAGGGTTATTTGCTTAGCTTTCATGTACTGTACATCGCTCTCAAATGTCTACTGATTGGTTCTACACCTCCGCCACTAACCTGCTGTAAGCCACCAGATTTACACTTTATAAATGAAAGAAGAACAGAAAATATTTCAGTACAAAAATGGGAGGGGGTGATGTTTGCAGTGTGTTACAAATGACAATTTAGGGTCATTGTAATTTACAGCAGCTTGTTTATTGTTGTCATTTATGTTGTCTTTTTTTCGGAAACTGCATCAACAGCACGAAGCATCCATTACGGACAACCATCTACAGAGATCCAGGAGCAGCTCAGAGCACCGTGAAGAGAGAGCTGACGCACACAGACTTCAACCTGCACATGTACATTATAACAGATTGGAATTCTTCACTGACAAGGCTTCACTTCCACCTTGACGACACTCATATAACATGCATCAAGTTCATTTAGAGGAGAACCTCTGGGAAACGGCATGACAAGGAGACCTCTAACTATTACAGATAAATCCCAGAGTGTTTTGTAGAAATTCTTTTTGTGATTTACACCAAAAAAAGGTGTTTCCTTTGGGAAACTCTTTCTCATTATTATGATACATAAAATGTTGGACCTGCAGTAAATTCTTCACATGGACCTGTTGTCCAGTTGCTGTTCCACTATAAGGTATGTGATGGATTATGAGAAAATACTTTCCTTAAAGAGTCCAGAGCAGTCTAATATTCCTTTGGAATACCTCACGGACGATCCAGTTCACCTCACTTGTTAACACACAAAGAGATGAAGTGATTTATAAGTGCTTATTCAAAGTGCTTCCACCATTTTTCACAGGGTGTCTTCAGTAGATTTGCAGAATGTCCAAAACAGTTTATCAGCAATTATAGTCAGATGTACGATGAACGGACGCTACCCTTTTGCAAAGCAATATCATTCATAAAGAGCCGACAAAACACTTTAAATTGGTTTTCACTGTGAGAGTTACAAGGCCGTCAAATATTTTCTATTACTGTATCACTACAACATACACTAAACAATCGTGCGTAAACACACACATAAATTCAACTTGACATCTCAGTCACACATTTAAATAAGTCAAGTATGAACAAAAAGAGCAGCAATAAAAATAATCCCAAACCTTATTTTACACTGATAATAAGAAGATTATGTAAATACAATACATCTGATGGAAATTTTGATAATGTAGTTTGGTTTGCCCTCAGAGGGCAAAAACCATTGTGCTCTTAAGTCGTCAGAAGCAGCATCTCCCGAAAGCTCTACTGACTCAAAGTGTAGTGGATCCAGTTATTCTGATATTCCTCATGGAATCAAATCAAGTAATTAAAACCAACTGACCAAAAAGTGTAGTTGTGCTCATATATATTAGCACATCGTCACTCTTTGAAATGCCTGCCACTTTGTAACTTTTTGTAGTAGTTGTCCTGTTCCGTGTGGTTCAGATTGCCCTCCCTATCCAGTAGAACTAGAGGGGTCTTGCGGCGCAGACTGCGACCTTCTGAGGTGTGACCCACGGGTGGGAGTTGAGGGGGAAGTGGTGGCTGGGGAGGTTGAGGAGGCTGGGGTGGCCCATGGTCAGCCTCACTGGTGGAGGAACAAGGAGAACTGCTCCTCACGTTGCGGTAACTCCGGGAACCATCGCGGTTGAGGTTTTTAAGCTCGTACGACTCGGCCATGTTTCCATCAGAAGATCCTCTCCACTCCCAAGGGTTATTGGGGTTGGAGGTCATACGGACTACGGGGTGGTGGGGGGCGTGGGCATCAACCGTGATGATGCCTGAACCGTTGTCACGTTCTGAACGATTAGGCGATGATTCTGTGCCCGTGATGGATGAGGTACCAGAAGAGGACGAAGTCTCTGAGGATTTGGCTGATCCAGACAGGAGTCCCTGTTGCTTTGACATGGCAATGACCTGCATGATCCGAGGCTGATTTCCTGCCTTAAGAACTGGAATATTAGCACCACTTTTCTCTGTGATGGACAGCCATTTGGCCCGAGTGCTGGCACTTTTAGGCGACACAGTCGGAGGGACCGAGGGCTGTGCTGGGGGGCGAGGGGGCATCACTACTCTTGCCCCTGCAGGTGGGTTAGCCGGTTTGGCTGATGGTTGAACAGACGAATAGACTGAAGAGTGGGTGCTATCCTCCTCTGTGGTCGTGTCGTTGCCGCCATCTGAGCCCTGATCGCTGGTGTCCTCGTCAGGCAAGCTGCCACCTCGCATCACCATTGACTTTTGCTTCCATTCAGACACTAATTGATGTGACCGCATGTGGTTCAGTGGAACTGGAACAGGTATTGTCACCAGACGCCTCGTTGGCTCCTCTGGAGCTGTAGCACGGGGTAATGTGTTGCTGAAGGTTACCATGGTCTCCTTACCCATTGGGCTGCGAGGCGCCAGTAGCTCCACGTCCACGCTGGCTCTCTTTAAGCTTCCCAACGAGGTTTTCTCCCGCTGTACAGGCCGGTTTAGCCCATCCAGACATGCTGGTGATGTTATTTCCTCATTGCTCTCAGAGGCGTGGCCTTTATTATAGACAGAGTCATGGCCTCTCTGGGCCAGAGCCCTCAAAGCATCCTTCTGCAGAGGAGGAGGTTGCGGGATGACAGTGTCCTCTGGAGATTTGAAGTTGGCAACAGCATGGAAAGCCTGGAATGATTTAGAGTTTTAAGATACAGTGGCTTCATTACATTGTTTATTTCCCAACAATACAGAATATTCCTTTCACCCAGTGCAGTTTAGTGTTAGGCTTAAGCCTGGGGTGGGAGCTTGAACAACACTCATATCAACCAACCTTTGATTTTAGGGGTAGTTAATGGGTAAGGTTAGGGTTGGCATTAAGGATGGGATTAGTATGTTTGTTAAACCTGGAATGCGGTTCTAGGACCAACAAAAGGTGGTGATTCATCATTCTAATTAGCCAAATCAGTCACTTGTGTGGTGGAAGTATTGATCTGAAGACACTTATATTGCTTTCAGGGGCATTTACATTTTATATCCTTCTTCTGTGCTCCCTGGGAATCAAAACGTGGCTTTGTTGTTTCTAGTGGATATGTTCTTGTAGAAAGTTCCAACCCTGCTTTAACACACCTGGATTCAATTTTTAGTAATCCTGAACACCTTGATTAGTGTCTAATTTAGAAAGCTGCACCCTCCGGTCTCTGGGCCAGAGCCCTCAAAGCATCCTTCTGCAGAGGAGGAGGTTGCGGGATGACAGTGTCCTCTGGAGATTTGAAGTTGGCAACAGCATGGAAAGCCTGGAATGATTTAGAGTTTTAAGATACAGTGGCTTCATTACATTATTTATTTCCCAACAATACAGAATATTCCTTTCACCCAGTGCAGTTTAGTGTTAGGCTTAAGCCTGGGGTGGGAGCTTGAACAACACTCATATCAACCAACCTTTGATTTTAGGGGTAGTTAATGGGTAAGGTTAGGGTTGGCATTAAGGATGGGATTAGTATGTTTGTTAAACCTGGAATGTGGTTCTAGGACCAACAAAAGGTGGTGATTCATCATTCTAATTAGCCAAATCAGTCACTTGTGTGGTGGAAGTATTGATCTGAAGACACTTATATTGCTTTCAGGGGCATTTGCATTTTATATCCTTCTTCTGTGCTCCCTGGGAATCAAAACGTGGCTTTGTTGTTTCTAGTGGATATGTTCTTGTAGAAAGTTCCAACCCTGCTTTAACACACCTGGATTAAATTTTTAGTAATCCTGAACACCTTGATTAGTGTCTAATTTAGAAAGCTGCACCCTCCGGCCCTATTGAAAAAAAACAGCATATGCTGGTTAGGTATGTTTTGAAGCATGGCAGCTGGTTTGAGCTGGTTTAAGCTTGTCCTGAGCTGGTTATGAGCTGGTTTAAGCTGGTCATGTGCTGGTCCTAAGCAACTAGCTCCTGCTCAGGACCAGCACATAACCAACTTATAACCAGCTCAGGAACAGCTTAAACCAGCTCATGACCAACTAAGGACCTGCTTAAACCATCTCAAACCAGCTGCCATGATTCAAAACATACCTAACAGGGGGAAGTTGCATTTGTTGTCTGCATACATCGAGTATGCTTGTTTCAACAAACCATGATAAAACTGACTTTAATTCTTTGTGAGGTGTGAATTGCTGTAATTTCTTTCTTACTCTGGAATGTAATGATTAGTTTTCTGAAATGAGATGTATTTGGCCAACAAATGCAACCTCTGGAGGATGCAGACTTTGAAATGAGGCACAGCAACAGGTAAAAAAATAAAAAATATAAAAAAAGCATAGTGCTGAGGAAGCTCCAGGAATGATGTGAAAACCCTGAGTTACAGGAAAATGTGATTTCGCCATGTGAGATGTGTTCCTGCATCAGTGTTGTTGGTTGTACAACCTCTGGAGGATGCAGACTTTGAAATGAGGCACAGCAACAGGTAAAAAAATAAAAAAAAATAAAAAAAGCATAGTGCTGAGGAAGCTCCAGGAATGATGTGAAAACCCTGAGTTACAGGAAAATGTGATTTCGCCATGTGGGATGTGTTCCTGCATCAGTGTTGTTGGTTGTAAAAAAAAATTGTTCATGTAGCTTAAACAGTAAAGCATTGCACTAGCAGTCATGGAATCAGTTTCCAAGCAATGAATGACATGGTAAAACGTATATCTTGAATGTATGTTTCTGCTATTTTATTTAGGATTGAAGTTTCTGCCAAATGTATAAATTGTAAACTGCCATAGCCCTAATCCTGACAGAAGAGTTTGCTGGATGTTGTTTAAGTCCCTATTCCCAGACAGGCTTTGCCCAACCCCAAACCCTAAAATATACTTGTTGGTTATAATGTTGCTTCAGAACCAACATGGACTTTGATGCAGGAACATCTGCTTGGGTAAAACACATTAAGCTCAATAGCAAGATGAGGATGGAGGATGGTTTACCAAATACCCCTGTTGAAAAAAAAAAGCATTGTAGCATTGTTTTGAAGCATTGTAGCTGTTTTGAGCTAGTCCTTAGTTGGTCACGAGCTGGTTCTGAGCAACTAGCTTCTGGTCTTGAGCTGGTCCTTAGCAGGAGATAGTTGCTTAGGACCACTTTAGGACCAGGACATGACCAGCTTAAACCATGCTTCAAAACATACTTAACCAGCATACTTTTTTTTTTTCAACAGGGACGTTACACCACATATGCAAAAATATATACTCACCAAGTACGCTGCAATACCAGCGCCAATACAGAACCCAACGTAAACATCGATTGGGTGACTGCGGTACTGGGTGATCTGAGTGAGTCCCGTCAACGCAGCCGCAATGGCAAAGGCAAACACCAGAACGGGTTTGAGCAGCTTGGTGCTATCAGAGATTGTTGAGTTGAAGTACATCTAGAAGAGCAGAGAGCAGCAGAAGTCTCCAGCTGTCATGTGCAAATTAATAACATATTGCCTTGCAGCTTCAGACAGTCTGACAAGCGCAAGTTGGGAAGCAGCAACAACTTATCTCCACGTCTGACGCTTGAAGTGGATCCTGCCAAATAGCTAGACATGTGAAGCACTTACCTATAATTAGACTTTCTCTAATCTAGCGAACAGAACGCATATGAGCATATTAAATCACACCTTTCTTTATAATATGATCCGTGTTGAAATCTATTACTTGTGTCAATGCATATGACATGCACATCTATTATGTTGGTTGTTCATTACTTCCATCTACAGTACAATCAGTTTAAACTGTACTAAACACTATTGATTTCTCTCATAGAGGAGTTTAGCCTATTAGGTTTATATGTATAAACAGTATATGCTGTTAACATTTAGTGAACACGCATTGAGATGGTGTCGAAGAGACTTACTGAAATATAAACAGCAGCAAAGGAAGAGAGGGTTGCATGCTGGGAAGGGAAGGTTTTCCTGTCACAAAGGAAAGCAAACATCTAGAGTAAGTCTAGACCAGATATACAGCAGAAGTCAATGTCACACGTTTATAGGTTTAAAAGAAGGAGTGAGTAGGAAGTGCTCTACAGGAAGAAAACCACAAGAGGGAGAAAGAAAATTGTTGAAGTTGATCACAGTTAATCACAAAATCTGATGTTTTTTGGTTACCTGGCAGACAGAATAGCATGCTGATCCTGGCCAGAGCAAATGTCTTTGGTGATGTAAGGGTTCTTGTCACAGGACACACCTGGGACAGTATAATTGGGTTTGCACACTGTGAGAAAGAATGGTGTGTGGTAGCCAGTGGCCAGCTGGATGACATCCGTAACCAGTGCTGTTGCACAAAGACCGAACACATGAACCCCTAGAAGGAGAGACAGATCATGAGGAATGAAACATCGATGACTCGTTTCATCAGTTTCATGCAACACTCTGTGCCTGACTCATGTTACATAATGTTCATCTGCATCACTCCTGCTCAGTAAAAAATACATTGTAAAGCAACTAGAATTTATTATTATAAATACATTCAGCACTTTCATAGTTTAGCTTCAAACATTCTGATATAAAATTGCCTTACAATGAAAAGAGTGTTACATACCAACAAAACGAACGGTTCTCCGCAGGAAAGAGTTAAAATTACATCCACCAGCATTTATGCTTCCTTCAATCCCTGGACGGACCTTCAGTTTGGACTGCATACAATACAGCAGACCTTCACCAATCATGATCTGAACACAATAAGAGAAATCAAAGAATTATACAATTGTTAATTTAAAAAAATAACTTTGGCATGTGTAAATGTAATTAGAGGATGATTAAATATGAATATTATTATATACGTTTTATGTGTTTTTGTGGAGAAGCAAGTTATTACATTTTGACAGAAGCTAAAAAAAAATGATTTACCATAACTGACTTTAAAGGGTTAGTTCACCCAAAAATGAAAATTCTGTCATTAATTACTCACCCTCATGTCGTTCTAAGCTTGTAAGACCTCCGTTCATCTTCAGAACACAAATTAATATATTTTTGATGAATTCTGAGAGCTCTCTGACCCTCCCATAGACAGCAATGTAATTACCACGATCAAGGTCCAGAAACGTAGCAAGGAGATCGGTACAATAATCCATGTGACATCAGGGGTTCAACCGTAATTTTACGAAGCTACGAGAATACTTTTTGTACGCAAAGAAAACAAAAATAACGACTTTATTCAACAATTCGTCTCCTCCGCGTCACCCTGGTGCCATTTTGGAGAATATCCACTAAACGTAAACTATTCTGTGTCAGCTGCGTCACGCGGATACGTTGTTTTCGTTTAAATCAAAGCATAAACAACGTAGAAAACGAATAGCATACACTGTTTACGTTTAGTGGATATTCTCCAAAATGGCACCAGGGTGACGCGGAGGAGACGAATTGTTGAATAAAGTCGTTATTTTTGTTTTCTTTGCATACAAAAAGTATTCTCGTAGCTTCGTAAAATTACAGTTGAACCCCTGATGTCACATGGATTATTGTACCGATCTCCTTGCTACGTATCTGGACCTTGTTCGTGGTAATTACATTGCTGTCTATGAGAGGGTCAGAGAGCTCTCAGAATTCATCAAAAATATATTAATTTGTGTTCAGAAGATGAACGGAGGTCTTAGGGGTTTAGAACGACGTGAGGGTGAGTAATTAATGACAGAATTTTCATTTTTGGGTGAACTATCCCTTTAAAGAAATGGCATAATTTACTCACCCTCAAGTTGTTCCAAACTTGTATGAACTATTGTTGAGCACAAAAGAAGATATTTTGAAGAATGTTGGTAACATTTGACGGTAGCCATAGACTTTTACAGTATGGGGGGAGAAAAAAAACTATGAAAGTCAATAGGGACCATCAACTCTTTGGTTACCAACATTCTTCGTGCTACGTATCTGGACCTTGTTCGTGGTAATTACATTGCTGTCTATGAGAGGGTCAGAGAGCTCTCAGAATTCATCAAAAATATATTAATTTGTGTTCCGAAGATGAACGGAGGTCTTAGGGGTTTAGAACGACGTGAGGGTGAGTAATTAATGACAGAATTTTCATTTTTGGGTGAACTATCCCTTTAAAGAAATGGCATAATTTACTCACCCTCAAGTTGTTCCAAACCTGTATGAACTATTGTTGAGCACAAAAGAAGATATTTTGAAGAATGTTGGTAACATTTGACGGTAGCCATAGACTTTTACAGTATGGGGGGGGGGAAAAACTATGAAAGTCAATAGGGACCATCAACTCTTTGGTTACCAACATTCTTCGAAATATATTCTATTGAGTTCAACAGAACAAAGAAACTCAAACAAGTTTGAAATGGCATGAGGGTGAGTAAATTATTATATAGGTTACAAAGATGTAAATGCAATGATATCACGATTGCTTTCATCTCACAGAGGCAGCAGGGCCGGCGAACGCCAGACTCAGGAGCATGAGCAGAGGGATGAGCTCATCGCCGCTGTCCACGTACGGCATGCTGAGTGACCGGTCATGGCAGCGGAATCCCACCTGTGCCGGCTGGAGCACATCCGTCAGTTCCAGGAAGTACAGTGAAACCATGGAGGACGCCACAATGGGTAGCTATTTTCTCAGAGGTAGGAAAGTGTGTGCATAATGCGAAAGTCTTTATCAATTTTAAAAGTACTAAATTGCATGTCTTTCTCAAGTGCAAACCGATATTATATATTGATAATACTCAAACATATCAACACCAGAGCACAGTTTAATTACTGTAGAGCAACTGTGGCAGATGGCTGTTGTTAAATGTCAACACAGAGTTCTGTACTCCAGGGCTGACAATGTGGTGGAAGGTAAACACAGTAGCACACTCAAACTGACTGCTATTATGCATTTTCAATTATGTCTTCAAAGAAATTGAGGAAGCCCAGTTGTTTAGAGTGTGTAATGTAATTACCTGAGACATTAATTGCTCTACTGAAGTATTAAACTGGTAATAAATGATGGCACGTACCTCTACGAAATAGAAGCATGGTAACAGCGTCAGACTGTCTTTGGGCGGTTTCTTCTTGATTTTTTCACGTGCCGTCATCATGGTGCTGGTCTTCTGAAGTTATTCTGTCTACACATAAGATCATGTTAACATACAAATGAAAGATATGGACTAACATGGCTAAATATATGTATAAACAACAGATTATTATAAAATATTAGTAAATTATTATTAAAAACATTTTTTAAAGCCAATAGCACATTGAATTCAATGTGAAACTTTGAAGTAGAAAAACTTAAATAGTATTTTTGTTGAAAACATGCTGAGAACTTCACAAAACCAACATTAATGAAAGAGCTGAAATTGCTCCAACTTTAATCAAAGGAGTCATGATCATAAATCCTGGACAGTTGGCGCACCAAGATAACCTTCAACATCTATCCTGGCCAGACAAATTACCTGACTTGAATATTATCAAACCACTGTGAACAGATTTGGAGAGAAGAGTGAGAAGCCAATTCCTTCCTTCAACATCTCTGAAGCAACTGGAAGATATTTTTATTGATGACACTCAACTAAAGACTATTCATCAGTTGCATCTTTTCAAAGAAGGTCAGAAGATACTTAATAAAGAAATATTGCCTATTTCTCAAGTGTTCACATTATTTTATCCAACCCCTGTATGTTCGCAAAAAAAGTGGGCTTTGGTTAAATACTATCCACAGGAAAAGGCCTGCACAAAAATGTTCAAATTATGATTTTCTCATCGGAAACAGAATGAGGCCCTCCTGAATAAATGAATAACAGACTGTGTGCCTGAGGAAGAATATTAAATAAACAGCTCCTTTCAGAATATTCTCAAAAGAGCATTATGAACCAATGTTAATGTTGGCTATTGTTTGAGCAGGCATTGAGAGAATAGTGTTTCTTGCTCTCTGCCAATTCAGCAGTGACTAAACAAGGCACTTGTCCTGAAGACACTCTCCCAACTCTCGAGTGGGAGCGAGCGAGGCTCTGCTGAAATTAGCAGGGAGCCTGTTTTCAAGAGTGGGAGCTCTGTTTATTTCAAAGAGCCGCATATGCCTCACAGGCAAAAGATTTCTGAGTGTGTGTGTGTGTGTGTGACTTTTAGGGATGAATCCATAGGCGCTGAGTTATCTCCAAAAAAGACAGTGTTTGTGCTCACACATACTCACAGCATGAGGCTTTGACTGCGGACAAAGTTAATTAAACTTGACTGGGTTTCTCACACGAATCTGTTTCCTGTGAAAGTGGGGTTAAACAGTGAGTTGTGCAACACAGCTACTTTCTGACCCTTGTTTGTGCCAAGAATCCAAGCAAACTGACCCACGACACTGCGGAACAATGCACGGGTCGATAAAAATGTCAAGCCATGATAACCAGTCAAGGCGAAATCATTATACACTTGAAGTGAAGAGACTCCGGAAAAATCAATAATGTAATCAGATAAGAATGAGATAGATCAGTCTCACTAATGTTCACACATCATGAGCAATGTCACTGAAGATGGCAATTATTTCAATTACACTGGCAACTCTGATTACATTGACACTCACACTGCAACACCTTGATTGTTAGAAACTGAAAATATTATTATTATTATTATATGCGTGCATGAGATGTGTATTTTATATATCCATGATTACATTTATCAAATAGTAAATATGGTAATATTACAATTTATATTCATTCATATAAAATAAATAGGAATTATTAATAATATATTATTTATTAATTCATATAGTATTATGATAGATAGATAGATAGATAGATAGATAGTGTTAAACACATTAATATATGTTAATATTATTACATTTATTCAACATAAAACGTAAACATGGTCATATAAAATTGTATATATTAATATTAAAATAAATAAAATAAGAGTAAAACATTTTCTCCATTGCAGTGGTGAAGAGTTTTTATTCACTATTTTATTTTAAAATAAATAAAATAACATTGATAGATAGATATTGAAATATGTATTTATATATATATAATGTTTTTATATCGTTTTATGACCAAATAAATAAATATGCAAAAATGACAGAGTAATCGCATACTAAGTGATTGTCACGATCGCAGTGGTGAATAGAATAGCAAGAGTTTTTTTAATCACTCAGGAATTGATCAGCTGTCAGATGTGCTGAGAGCTTGAGAGAATCACTGCCCAACAATATCCATACACACGTTTACATAGATTTTCCTGCCCAAAATCATCTTGACTCACGCTGTAAGGCGAGAATGAGATGTTATGTAAAACTAGAATCGTTGCCGTACAACAGAGACACTGCGAAAATCTCAGTGATTATTTATTGTAATAATACCGCGTCTCCACTGGACGCGACGCGACCGAACCCGCGCGCGCTTTAATTCCCACACATAACAATGGCAGCGTTCTGGTCGCGTCGCGTCGCGAGTGCGTTGTTTATTCTGCTGCTGTTCATCACGCAGGTAGAAAACCGAGAAAATCTCACCTTGACTGCGAAAACGGGCGATTCCCTGACGGAACGGGGATACCCCGAGTGAAAATTCCCAGCGTATTCCTTCTTCGCGAGGTTAGACTGCGGCTCTTTCAGTTCATATTCCTCTTTCTGCTCACGTTTTCCACGCAGCCGTGGACTCCTGTTATATGCTTGACTGCTGGAGCCAACCACAATATCCCTCAACTCAGTGAGCTCCTGTTCCAGCTGCTCGTCTGCAGTCAGACATGCAGTATCTGAGGGGCTTCAGTAGGAGAAGACCGCACTATCAGAGATAAAAAAGGTTTGTCAATGCTGTATGAAGCCGCGTCCATTGATCTTAGTGTAAAACCGTTCCATCCTCAGCATTCCTGAGCGCGATCTGCACTGATCTCCTCCAGCAGTGGTAACATGGAACTGCACAGGTAACAGTTCAGACAGCAGGGTGGGGGAGAGGCTGTGAACTGGTTTAACTTATGTCCAGTGGCAAGATGAATATAATGTCCTGTTTCCTGTAGCCTTACAAATGTCCTTCCAGCATTGTTAGGGACCACCGAATAACCAAATTATTTCGATTGCATGTCTTTTCTTCCTTTTTATTGTGAAGATGGAATAAATAATACAAATCTGTTCTAAAATGTGTCATCCAATGTAAATCGATTTTTTTTTTTAAAAACACTTAATATGCATCAGTTCATCGGGTGACAGAATAAAATCAATAGCCAATATTTAGGCTATTATGCTAATATAATAAAGTCATTATATTCAAACCGACCAACCCTCAATATTAAAAGCCAAATTGTTTTAGCGCTTAATATTTTTCATCTTTCATGAATAACATTTACAATTTTGTCTCAGTAGCGCCTATCAATAATGTACTATTTATAAATACATTTATAAAGTATATAGAAGATACATTCAAAAGTTATATTAGATATTTTTGAACCAAGTCTCTTGACTCTTGCTCACCAAGGCTGCATTTATTTGACAATACAGTAAAAACAGTAATATTGTGAAGTATCATTGCAATTTTAAATCACTGCTTTCTATTGTAATACATGGTGACACAGCCACACCTAAACAGACCACAGAGACAGGAGCTCATTGAGGAATGCTGCTAAATATAGTCTCGGGACAGCCGGCAGCATCATATGTGAAGATGAAAGATTTCCAGGCTCAACCGACCCACAAAAGAACATAACACAATGGAGTCTGTTTAAAAGTCTTACTTTTGTATGAAAAGTAATTTAATGTATTGCCCTTATTGCCGACAAACCGTTTTTAAACATATCAGTCATCAGAACTTTTTCTATCTATCTGATAAGTGACATTTTTTGCAAGAAATGAATGCTTTTATTCAGCAGTGATGCAATAAATGGATCAGAAATGACAGTAAAGACATTTATAAGTCAAAAAGTCCATTTCAAATAAACGCCATTCTTTTGAACTTTATACTCTTCATTATTAATAGCATTAACAATTAACTTATTCCATTTATTTAATATTTTTATTTTCAAAAAGTTAAATAAAAATTATACTAAAACTGGTACAGAGAACCGTAAAATTGTACTGGTACCGACTATTAAAATTTTGATACTGTGACCACCAATTAAAAGATGTATTTGTGGGTGAACTAAGCCATAATGGCTCACCTGAACACCTCCACCTGTGCGTTAGGGTTGACTCCGGGCAGGGTGTACGGTCTGCCGAACTGCAGTCTGAGCGGGTGTTTGCTCTGGATCTTAGTGATAACACCGTCGTTGATGGGCAGCCAGTCCATGCTGGGTACCAGGAGCTGACTGGGCAGCAGACAGCACTCATCAATCAACGTCTCATCAGGGTCCTGCGGGTGACTCTCATCTCGAGCTGCCAGTCAAAAGAAAACAGCAAAACAGGGTTCATTTTTTAACCGATTTAACAGCTCAACTGACATGTCGGCTCAAAGCCCGACACAGGGTCTAACTCACAGCAGAGCCAGAGTTTGGTGAGCAGGCGGAAGAGCAGAAACATGCTGTCTTGGTTGTCAGATGTGGCCGTGTAGATGGGCAAGCAGCCTGGTTTTAACAGGCCCCAAATACGGATCATCACCAGCATCTCTCTGAGCATGCCCAGAGAAGCACCGTCCCGCAGGAACCCAAACCCTGGACGTACGATGGAGCCCTGCAAAGATATTCAGTCATAAAGCAGCATGTTAAACTCAAAATTGGCAGCCCCATGACTGCTGGTAAAGGTTGTCCAGTTGAGCTCACCTGGTTGGGCAGGTTGGCCAGCAGATAAAGAACAAAGTCTCCCACCCACTGAATGAGCTGCTGAAGGGATTGCAGGGGTGGTCCGTCCAGAACAAACTCCTCCGTCTTCAGGTTGATCATCACCTTATCAATATCTGAACACATTAAATGATCAGAAATCGCCATTGAGGTGCATTCACATTCACAAATGTTTGCAGGCAAAAATCAGTCTATTGTCAATAGCAATGTTGGGGTAACGCATTACAATTACGTGAGTTAAGTAATCAGATTACTTTTTTCAAGTAACTATTAAGTAACACATTACTTTTAAATTTACAATTAAATATCCGAGTTACTTTTTCAAACAAGTTACTCTGTTTTCCCATTTATTCCCTGACACCTTTCCTGTCGCTGGGTTGAGCGAAATTGAGGGTCAGATCACTTCCTTCAGTCTAAAGCTTGTTAATTTCACATTTGGGGCAGTTTTACTAAACGGCAAATTAGCGCGAGAGCATAATTCCAAAACAGTGCTGATGGGAGGGGAAATTTCTGTGGGTGATTTACTTACAATGCAAAGAACACAGATGCAACATCTCATTTACATATCTACCAACGCAATATACCATGCGCAGCGCAAATTAGCGTAGTCACAAATAAAGAATAAAGAAGCCGCAGCACGTTAAAAAGAACCGGAGCCCAAAAAATTAAGGTTTGCTAGAAGTTTTGACAGACCTGGTATTCCAAATCGTCTTTTATTTCCTGAAGCAAATTAAAAATAACATGGCTTGGCAAACGATATGTTCGGATAATGTGTTCTTCTAGCATTCAAAATAAATTAATACGTGTGGAAAAAATCCTCTCCCTTCTACCACACACTCTCGGTTCTCTGTGGTGCCTCCTCCTACCAACAATAATTGCAGCCATTTCAAGCCCAGAAGAGTTTAAGACATGCTTTTTTGGGGCGAGTGCAAACGTTAGTAAAACGCGTTGCGTGATTCATTTGAATACTCTCCTCCCATAACTTTTGCGTCTGAAAGGGAAACTCCAAAAAATGCATATTCAATAAGGTCAGGCACACAAATAATTGTCCACGCCTTTTCAGCGCTAATTCGTCACTGCGCGTCTTAGTAAAACCTATCAGTACTATTTTAACGCCAAAAGACGGTTTGCGCTGGAATAAGCATTTAGTAAAACTGGCCCCTGGTGTGAAAGGGCCCTTACAGCTGCCAAAAATATAAATTTGGGGGGTTTTGTTATTAAAGGATTAGTTCATTTTCAGAATAAAAGTTCGCTTTGTAAACACTGGGTCGGTACTTTCGCCTACGTCACACGTGACCTTTCAAACGTGATTACGTAACACGTGAAGTTGTGGACGCGCATCGCAGAGCTAGTGCAAGATGAGCATTTGTGGTTAAAAAGTATATACTTTTTTTTTTTGAAAATGACCGATCATTTCGCTAGATATGTAGAGCCCTTTGAAGCTGCACTGAAACTGCAATTTGGAACTTCAACCCATTGGCTCCCATTGAAGTCCACCATATGGAGAAAAATCCTGGAAGGTTTTCCTCAAAAATCTTAATTTTCTTTTTTCGACTGAAGAAAGAAAGACAAGATCATCTTGGATGACATGGGGGTGAGTAAATTATCATGAAATTTTTATTCTGGAAGTGAACTAATCATTTTAAAAACAAACAAGAAGCCCAGCCCAGATGACAAAAAAGTAACACAATGTAACGTAATGCATTACTTTCCATAAAAAATTTACTAAGTTACGGAATTAGTTACTTTTTATTATTAGTTACCACAGAAGTCACTTAAGTCAGTTTTCTGTTGGTCTGTGCGGCAAATCCAGGAGACCAACTTGAACAATGGCAAAATCTGCATGGGGAACTTTTTTGCCCTTGCAAGAAACTCCCATTGAAATGAATGAATTTGCCTATAAAATTTCACAGAGCAGTTGTGAAAGTGACCTCACCTTTATAGTATCAAAACAACAACAACAACAACAAAAGGAATCGGATGGGCAAAACTGAAGTACGGATGCTCTGAAGTAGGCCTGTCACGATTATGAATTTTGTGTTGATGATTAATTGTCATACAATTACAATGCAAGTCTAATACATTACTTTTTATTTACTTCTTATGATTAAGTTCATGCTCTGAAAACAAAGAATAATATAAGAATTTTCTTTCGTGTTGTCACCAATTTAAATTTCTCTTATTTGGATGGCAAAATATAACTAAAATATAAACTACACAATTATTGTGATTATCTTAAATAATTGCGATTAGATGAAATAACTTCAATCTGACAATTAATTAATAATCGCAAAAGGTCTTCTCTGAAACATTTTTTGGGTGGCGGGTTGTTACCGGTGTCAGTGTTTTTGGTACAGATCTCAGAGAGACGGTCTCCAGGACTCTTGTCGGGGGTGTTGAGCACATGAGGTCTCAGTAAAGACTTCAGCGTGGAGCTGATGGCGATGAGGAGCAGTTTAGCGTGGAAGTCACAGGCTCTTGCTGCAGTGGCAGATGACAGTTTACACAGAGACGCCTTTACTGCCACTATACGGGTGGACAAAACCTTCATCGCAAGCCATGAAGGAGAGAAAAACCACAACAAAGTCAAAAAGAAACCGATTTGAAGTCAAAGTCTCTGTAATAGTATATTGATCTACCTGCTGGAGTGCTTGGTTTTGTCTCATGTACTCTTCGTGAAGCTTCTCCAGAAGGTTATGCACCATGCTTGGCTGTGCGTGCAGCAGCACGTCCCACCAGTCGTATCCCGTCACCATGCAGTACTCCAGGAGGAACAGCAGGTGCCGCAGGAGTGTGTTCATGTCCAACATTTGGCCCATGGATGGAGACACTCGGATCATGTGCAACTGAAATCAGAAGAGGTGAACTTTAAGATCTGAGGGTGCTCCTGTCACCACTAGGTGTCAAGCCATCATACCTTGCCATGATTGTCCACTCCCACCAGAGCCAGAGATGTCCAGGAGAACTGAAGGGCTTTGAAGTGCAGCGTCGGGCCACCGGCTCTCTGACGTTTAATGGCAGGTTCTTCTCCGACACGCTGGGAGGAACCAGAGGAACCGTAGAACACTCCCATGGTGTGCAGAGAAAGGCGATGGAGAATCTGGATGCTGCCATCATGGAAGGCCAGGGCAAGACCTGAGA